CGTTGCCGTATCTCTTCTCTCAACGACAACACTGCTCACCGCAACACACGCTGAAACGCTGCAAATGACTTTTGGCAACGTTTTTTGGCCGTTGCAAAAGGTGATTTTTGGTGTAGTGTAGTACATAACTGTAATTATGATATTTTATTTTGTCAATCAATAAATATTTTTTATTTATTTAAACAAATAAGGGTCATCAATCTCTTTGTGATAATATGAGTTAAGGAGCTTGTCTAGAGCAGTACGTATAATTCATGTTTTGATTAATAACAATTTGTCCTAGATCGACCAGTGGAGGTTAACATTTTACTTGGATTGTTGGAAAAAAATTACTCTACTAATTAGGATACATGAGTTTGTCTTGACTGTGAGATTGTCCATTCTGAAGTAATGGTAATAATACATTTGAAATTGTATCGGATTAGACCAATTTATAGCGTGACCGTGCTAAGAAAATTAATCGCACGTGTCACACTTTATGATTAACCTAAATTAGCTAGCGGGTATTGGTTGCCATTAGTGAACTTGAAGTTCTTTGATATGCCAGTGAGCGAGATAAATTTATAACTGTTAACATCTAGGTATGTTGGGAGCAGATAGAAATTGAAGTAGTGAATATATATTTTCGTTTGGAATCCATCGCCTTGTTCAAATAGGTTAATGGGTACATTTGAGAATAATCTGAGCTCATTATTTGGTGATGCTCAAATCATTAATTGTGTGTTCATATTATACTTCCACTAAAACTCATCCTCCTAGAAGATTTTGATATTTGGCTTCCAAACTCAAGGTGGAAGTTGATTTCTACCTATCCAACTTGAGTTTGAGAGGAAATGTCAACAATATCTAATAATCTCTATGGTTTGTACCCTTTTATGGTTAATTCCATAATTACGAGATTGTATAACTATTCTTGTATGTTTACTTTCGTAACCACTATAACACTATAAGTAGGTTCGTGACATATTTTTTTATCGGTAAATGTGAATTATATTGATAAAAAAATCATATACAAGTACATCGAACATATTCTAACAATCAGAGATCAAATACATAATATACAAGTACACCCGGCATATCCAGACAAATAGAATGAGAAGATGTACAAACAACTAGATCTAACGACCTAAAACTATAGATTCAAAATGAATCAAAACAT